GGAATTTAATCTGTGGTAGTACTGTTTTCATTCTAGTTATTGCAGTTTTATTATGATCAGGTTGAATATTCAAGTTGGAAATCTGATCAATGCCAAGTCATACGGTTTGGCTCATGTCATTGGAATCAGAGGTTAATGTCAGATTGCAAAACACTGAAGAATCTTAACCTCTTTTACGAAATTATCCATCAGTAAAATCAATTAAAGTGTAGCACTGATCAGTGATTCAACAGCTCTTACCAAAGAGCATTAGGTTGAGAAGAGGCTAATTGAGGGGGAAAGCTGGAATTTTAAGAACTTGAATTTCAAAAGCTAGAATTTTCATGAAAGAAGAAATAAATCTGCACTAACTGGTGTGGCTCAGTGGATTGGGCACTGGCCTGTGAACCAAAGGGTCACTGGTTCGATTCCCAGTGTAGGACACATGCCTGGGTTGCAGGCCGGGTCCTCAGCGAGGAGCACAAAATGCAACCACACACTGATGTTTCTCTCCCTCTCTTCCTCCCTCCCTTCCCCTTCTCTAAAAATAAATAAATAAAATCTTTTTTTTAAAAAAAGAAGAAATAACTCTATCCTTAGAGAACTTACAAATACCAAGGGAAAATTGTTTAATTACTAAGGATAGCAAAGACTGAAGCTCAATCTGGTAGCACAAGATCTTCTCTTACAATTTTTCCCAACTGTATGTCTTTTTGGGAAGCATACTGCGGCCCTATAATATGTAGCAGAAAAGCCATGATATGGGAAAGTCAAAATGAAATGTCTCATTCTGATATCAATAAAAATGTAAGCTTTTTGGATTTTAAAAAAATCCATACTATAACTGTATCCTCATTTACAATGGCATTAGTGTTTAGCTTAGCCCTAGTAGATAAGGTTTCATTATAATTTATTATTAACTATAAATCAATGTCTTGGACTTAGTATTTTTTTAAAACTTGCTCAGGACTTCCTTGTTCACAATATCAAGCTAGGTTTTTTGAAGGGGGAGAGGAAGAAGGGTTTTTGGAAAGTTCTCACTTGCTTTATCAAATCAGAAGATTGTGCGGCTGATCTCCGGCTGTTAGGATTTGTGATCTTTTGCGATATGGAGAAAGGAGAATCTCTCTCATTATGCAGTAGGAATGGAATGCTAACGTTCTTTGAACCTCACAGTTTCCCCTTAGAGATTTGGAGGGGATTGCCTTCCTCAGCTTTATCTTCTTTAATCCCACGTTGACAGTTTTCAGAGAGATTGAGGTAACAATAATATTATACATCAGTAAGAAGTGATTAAAGGAAGCTGTGATCACTTGTAACTATGTCATAATACCATTTTGAAGATTAGACATTAACTATGACCCCAAAACCCTGCTTAGGAATCTAAGTGAAATTCACTGTGAATAGGTGGTATTTTAATAATATTATGTAGTGATTAGAAGTGAGTGTGGCCAAGCAGTGTCTCCTTTGATTCCAGAAGTTTTTCAGTAGAGCAGGAAGAAACCTTTCAAATCATATTTTCTGTCAAAGTAACTTTGTCAGAGCAATACCGGCTCGAAATTTTCTAAGGTGGTTATCACTTAACAGACAGGTAGACTATGTACCTTTCCAAAACCCAACGAATTAGAATGTGAGATCTGATGACTGTGCATACATTTTAAGGAGTATTATTTACATAGTCTCACCAGGAAGTCAAATTATGCATTTTAGGTTATAAATTCACTTTATTTGTGCCTCTGATATTAATTGAAATCAACATGGGCAGCCATTTCTTTCTTCTTACAAAATTAGTTTTTATTGATTAATTTAAAAGAATCCAAAACGCTGAAGCATTGAACACTAAAAACTTCACGTTTTTCATGCCTAATGTCTTGAAAACAAATTTTCTTAACATTTTAAGTGGCTGTTTACTAAGTAGCACTCTCTTCATTTTGACATTGGCTTTTGGGGTTTCAAGATGAGGATTTTTAGTCACTGAGAAATCTTTTCCAGAAAGCCCTTCATGGGAAGCTGCCAATTTTAACTGGGAGTTGTGGGTGCTCATGTCATTTTCTTTACTTTGAGTGTCTGTGGCTAAAACTCCCAGAGCTAAAAATGGGCTAAAATGAAAACCTAAGTATTTCCCAAATCCTTTTAGAGATGTTGGTAAACACGGCATCAGATAAAGGGTTCCGTGGCCTGCTGGTTGGGATTCTCTCCACACCACTGCCCTCCCCTGAGATTCCATCCAGCCTGTCTGGACATGTGAGGAGCCCTCGCTGGTGTCACACGTGCCTGTGCAGATCGCCATTTCTCAAGTTCATTTAGGCACTTCGTCACTGGTGGCCTTCCTCCCAAGAGCAAACGATCGAAAACTAAACATTAAAAAAAAAAAATCAGATAATTTTCAGTGGAAGGGTATCCTATAATTTGCTCAATGAATATTTCTCAAAGTCATCAAAAACAAGGAAGATCTGAGAAACTCTCATAGCCAAGAAGAACCCAAGAGACATGAAAATTAAATGTAGTGTAGTATCCTGGATGGGATTCTGAGACCAAAAAAAGGAGAGACATAAGGTAAAAACTAGGGTAATCTAAATAAAGGATGGCCTTTAGCTAATAATAACATATCAGTATTGTCAATATCGTTAATTATAACAAATGTACCATTCTAATTTATAATGTTAATAACAGGAAATTGTGTGCAGGGGCTACATGTGAACTCTGTTCTATCTGCTTAATTTTTCTGTAAATCTAAAACTGTTCTAAAATACAAAAGCTATTAATTTCTAAAAAAAGTGGCATTAACATGGCATATACTTTTTTATGTGGAACCTTTTCTATTTACATTTGTATGCAAAATAGATTTGGATCATATAAGACTATGGAAATATGAATTAAGCTGTCTGATAAAGGAAAAATACACAAATCAATGCATGTAAAAATCAGAATGCTGGGTCTCACTATCAATAAATTATCGTGATTTGGAAGGTCACCATTTGAACCTAGACAGTGTATTCAGTCTATTAGACATATGATGCCACAAAAATTCAGAAGGAACACATCCTCAGATTCCTGAATTAGGTGCTTTGGTATTTGACTAGAAGGCAATGGCAGAGTGAAGTCTAGAATGTTGCAGAATCATCTTTATGAAAGAGGTAGCTAAGTTTTTACAAGTACATGTGGAGTGGTTAGTTCTGAGGATGCCCTCCTCCCATCCAGCTCTCATGTCTCAGACGTTATCTGTGTCTGTCTTGGGATGTTTATTCCATCCTATACAATATCTAAAGACAAATTTGCAAGTAAGTCTTGTTACTGTACTTACCAAGTTTTCAGGCTCTTGTTCCTATGCCAACAATTCTAGAAAACCTACTTAAAATATTTTATACGTAATGGCGGGTGGTATAATGACAGATCATGTAATTATAATAACAATAACAAAGGTAGTAACTACTATTTATTGAACATGTCAGGGACTGTGCTGAGCCGTTTATTTTATTCTGTTGAAACTGTGTAACAAACCAGTAAACAAGGCACCCTTGTCCTCATTTTGCAGATGAGGAAACTGCATACAGTTTTCACACATTGTGAGATCATATATATACGCACACGCATATATATATCTGTATATATTTATATGATGTTTATTCACCTCTCTTCAATCAGTGTTTTAAAAGCTAAACTTTTTACATCCTGTGTAACTGTATTCTTAAAGACAAAAAATAGAACATTTATGAAAAGCAATTTTGGGGAAGGTTTTATATTTTAGTGAAATTAGTTGAAATGAGTTAATTCATCTACCTCTTCCTGGTATGAGTAGAAAACTAGAATAGGGACCCAAGGATAGCATCAAAATTCAATAAAAAAACAGGCAGATGCTTCTTCGTAAGTGGTAGGAAAGCTTACTTTCTTACTTAGGAACATGGGTTGCAGCTCAATTTATTTGTTATGTACCGAATCAGAGCATGGTAAAAAGAAGTAGATTCGTTTTAAGAATTTTTATTTCTCTGTTTGAAGGGTTTTGCTTGAGGTACTATTATTGAAAAAAGGACAGTGTTCTTAGTTTCATCAGAGAGAGTCATTGCTATGTCAGCACCCTCTCTGGGGACAGTAGGCCATCAATGAGGCTACACTGCTGGCAACAACTGTCTAGAACTGAGAGATAAATCACCTCTCATCAATTACGTCATTAAACTTAGTGGCATCAGCATAAAAGCGAAGGCCATGCAATATCTGCTATTCACTTAACATATGCAGAGCATGTACTCCATGACTTATTCAAAATTTACTATAATTTACAGCTACCTGATCTATCCCAGTGGTTTTTTCCAGATCTGATTTGACATAGATGTAAAATAGTAGCATAAAGTAGGCTGAGGCCTAATACTATATTTTCTCTCCTGTCTCTATGTAAGTTTTATCCTATGATAAAATGCCTTTTCTTTTTAATTTATAAACAGTTTAGGAAATTTTGCTGTAAAATTAAGTCAAAAAAATTTTAATGCACACTACCTGGAAAAAGTATATCCACCCCTGGTTTAAATTAAACACCTTGAAATGGAAAGGGCTAATATGATGGTCATTGTATTTTCTAAGTTTCATGCAGATTTCAGTTTTTAAAAGAGTATTAGGAGTAATTATCTGACATTTCCCTTTAGACCTTTTCCCACCTTTTTCTACTCAATTTTCTCATAGTGCAGGATTCTTGATTATACTGAACAGATAACATCATATGTCAATGAAAGCTAAGATGTGTCCTTAAATGCCAAACACTGTTTTTTTAAGTATATATAGATTGATAGAGATCTTATGTTAAAAGAATAGCTATACCAAAAAAGATTTGTAAAACCCAAAACCAAAATATTGACAATGGCTGCCTCTTGATATTGAAAGTAGGTTGTCAAAATGTTTTTTTGTTTGTTTGTTTGTTTGTCTACTACAGCTCACCACCAAGTTTGCTAGAAATTTGCTCTATCTTGGTATACTAATATCAGGTCAGATTTCCCCAAAGTGATGGCTACTGTTTTTTCTTTCCCAATCAGAGGAGAGAGGTCACAGGGTGTTGAAGAATGGCAGATGATCGGAAAGATGATGCAAAGGCACCTCACTGGACCCCAGCTCAGCTAACGGAGGCTTCTGGACACCCACATCCACCTGAGATTAAGGATCAAGGCGGGGCAGGGGAAGGACTTGTCAGAAGCGCCAATGGGTTTCCATACAGGGAGGATGAAGAGGTCACCTTCGGAGAGAATGGGTCACAGAGCGCTTACTCAAATACCAAAGAGAATGGGATCAACGGAGAGCTTACCTCAGCTGACAGAGAAACAGCAGGTAACTAAAGGCTCTGCTGTCCCTAGTGCTGGTTTGTGCTTTGAAGTCTGTTTAGTCCAAAAGTGAATTAGTTTACAGCACTGGTGCTCTTTCATGAAGGCTAGGACTGAAATTTTAGTTGGGGGAAATAGACACAAAAAAGAGAGAAAAATCATGGAAACTAGCCCAACAATCCCCATATTGGTTGTATTCTCCATCTCATCTTCCTCTTTTGTTTTACCATTTTAATTTTAATAGACAAATGGCTCATTGTCTGTGCATTTTGCCAGTAACTCTCAGTTATTTAATTCATTGAAAGAAAATGCAAATAGTTTGCTGTTGATTCTTTTGAATGATATTGGACCTAAATCCAATTGACTAATTAGAAGCATATTTACTTTTTAGGGCAGAAAGGAATGTAGAGTTCATCTCCCTATCTTTAAAAAGAAAAAAGAGAGACAAAACAGAAGAGAAAGAAAATAAACATGTACACATGTACAGGAAACATTTCTTCCTTAGATAACTTTTTCATACCTAATATTCAGATGATTTAAGGAAAACGTACTACAATTTACTTTTCAGTACTTCCTTTCAAAGCATAATTTTTACCAATAGCCCTCTTTACTCTATCATTGACAATATTGTGATTAATGGCATAGTTAAAAAATATTAATAGCATAGAGAAATAGTAACCTGTGCTATAATATTATTCAAAATTATTTTTATTTTTCTGTGATTCAGAATTTAATGCATTTGAACACAGTAACTTCCAGACATGCTATTCCAAAAAGTGTAACTACAAGCAATAAGAAAGGTTATGCCCGCTTCAAAATCATCCCTTACTTATTCAAAGTTGATTTTCTACACTCCGTCCATTAGTCAGCAACACATTAAATGTACACTCTGTTCAGAAAAACATGTTTACATTTTAATGGGAAAATATGAAAGGCATTTCAGAAGTCTGGGGAGCAATTACGTAAGTTTATAGCGGAATTTAAAAAAAATTCCACACATTCCACAAATTACTCTTGAGCATTTTGTATGCTGTGCAAAGTGTGTTAGCTTCTGTGCCAGAGTGTGTGCCAGAAATGGCCCCTGAACTTGGCAGCACAGGTGACATAGACGCAGACAGGAGACCTGTGCACGCAGTTTGTTCAGATAGAAACTACAGTGTGCCAGTCCCAAACGAGCAGTATGGGAGGACAAAATTGAACTGGGATCGTTTCTCCATAGGGCCAAAGTTCCCCAGTTATGCACAGAGGTGTCTTGTGGTGCCTCAGCAAATTCACAGGGTTGAGGCCAAGTGTTTGAAATGCTTAGAGGAAACCCGGTGATTCTTCATGGCTGTCAAACACTGCATGAAATATTAGCTCAAGATGGTGCACATCAGAGAGTTTCAACATTAGATCACACCATATTTCTTTACAAGATGTCATGTCTTTGTGAATTTGGGTTTTCAGCAGTTGCTGTGATAAAAACCAAGTACCCTGCAGAAATCCACATGGCGCAGGAGAAGAGGGTGGCAGTGTCCAATCTGCTTCAAGGATCTGAGGAGCTGTGTAGTGCCTAGCAGGCAATATGCACCATTAGTAAGAAATTGTGGTTAAGAATGAAATAAAAATTTTATTTTTACCTTTTGTGGTTACAATGGGGATTAAATGAAACAGTAAAGTGTACAAAGTGAATGGCTTATGAAATAGTATCTATTAATTACTATTATTATGATTATTATCAGTGTTGGTAGTGGTGGTGTCAACATAGACAACAGAACACCCTTAATCAAGGAATATTTTTCTACAAACCAATATAATACAAACTGTAGAGGGTGGGATTTGGGTCAGGAGCATTAATTAGGGAGATTTTGTAGGGATGGAGGTACGAGGAGATGAGGACATGTTAACACAAAATGATTGTGGGGAAAGAAAGAGATAATGTGATAGACCAAGATTTTTCTCATCATCATATTCTATAGCGCCTGACATTGTATCTCGAGAACTCAGTAAATGTGTGTTGAGTGAGTGAATAAAGAAAGGAGTGAGTGAATGCCAAAGAAAAAAGAAAGCCCTTTTCAAATTAATGGTAAAAGCTATTGAAAAGTCTTCCTTTGGGTCTTGGACTCTCATCAGTTGACTCTTGTAGATTACTATTATAGAGGTTTATAATACAAGACAAAAATCACTATAATGTGTTTGGTCAAGCAGTAGAGAGCCAACATCACTAAGTGTTTCATTTTTTTCAATGGTACTAATTAACTATTTAAGAGCATCTGAAAAATCCATCTTTCGGGTCAGTGTGTCCTCGCCAGCCTGAGGAAAATAATATAATTTAAAAAGCAACCAATAAATGTTTCTTTTAAATTGTGTGCTCAGGAACATCCAAAGTTAATTTTTTATTCAGTGCAATGTATATCACAATAATTTTATATTGCATTTAGGAGACTGATTAGGAAAGCTTTATATGTCTATTCATAGTGACAGTGTTGTAAACAATCATCTGTGGGTTACCAGGGTGATGTGTTCAATTCAAACTATGGGATGATTTTAAACTAACTTCCCTTCAGAAATGACAGGCCAAGTATTGACTTATAAATTATCCATGTATGGAAAACTATGGGAAAAGAAAAACTATGGTAAAATAGTGCCTTCTCATGTCTACAGAGGATGTTTCAATGATGCTAGTGTGCAATTAAATTTCTTTCTAAACTTAGTAAAGTAAGAAATTTTACTATTGACTGTTTATGTGTAACTGTTTCACAAACTACAAAAATCATCCCCAGTAAAAAGAAATGCTCCTAAATCTCAAATACGGTTTTTCAAAATGCTGTCCTTTGATGATGGGAGACTACTGACTGATATGAGCTGGCATTATATTTCAGGTTACTTTAAAGAGAACCAAAGAGCTATAAACTAGCCCACTCTTTTTGTACTCACTGAAAATCTATCAGCATATTGCGTTTCTCCCCTACATAGGATATTTCAAGGATATTGTTAACTTGAAGCATTTCCCAGGATCATCAGGCCCTTTGCTATATGTTGTGGTATCCAAGCTCTTACTGGTTTAATCCAAAGATCTTTCTTCTTCTTTCCTTTTTTGCTATAGTTCACTCTTCACCCTTAGAAATAAATCTTTTCCCCAAGGTTGTTTATTTGTAGTCCTCTCTATAAGCAAGATCACATGATACATGAATTGCAATCATCACATCTGCTTCCTTCTTCCTTCTTTATCAGTGTGGGCTTAATTCAGCCAAAGATCTTGCCTCATTCTCTCACCCACCCTTTTCAGTCAACGTTCACCTTCATTTTTAGGCCACAGTAATTTTTTTTATTTTTAAGATACAAGCTCACAGTTAGCCTATCTTTAGTCTTATGCACTGAGACGGGGTGGCAGGGAATACTAGAAGGCAATAATATTTTAAATTCTATTTCTTTACAGCTTTCTCTTTTAGATTTTTGTCTCCTTACAATGTAAAACTAATCTATAGAAAGTTAGAATTATTTGCTCATTTATTAAAGCATAACTTTTGATACTTAAAGAATTTCTATTACATTTATTCATTCAGGTGTTCTTTTTAGAAGCCCTGCCACAGAGGCTTTCAAAAAGAAATAAGAAGCCACTGACAACCTAGGAACTTGGGAATGTTCTTGTTACAATGGAACTAAAGTTGCCATTTTTACATAGTTTTCAAAAGTGGGAATCAGAAAGTAAAAGCTTGCCATAAAACTTCCTCTCTTTTTCACCTTATCTTTTTTGAAGGAAGCAAGAGGAATGCATTTTGGTTCCCAGAGAGTTATAACTCTGAGTGAAAATTGGTAGACTCATCCTTAAGTTTCCTGTCTGAGGTGGGGCCCAAACTCCTATTAGAATCCATATCAAAATAACAAAAGGTAACTAGAAGCTTCAGACCAGTAAGATGGCCTTTCACAGTCTTCCTCGTCACAGGTTTAGTCCCCAGTCAGGATCACATGACTACGGCCAGAGCGCAGGTTTCCTGATGTGAATACCAGTGCTCTGTCCGCCACCCCATGCCACCAGATTCCCGCCAGCCCAGCAGCTGCCCCTCTGAGCAATCAGAGCCAAAGAAGACAATCCCTATTGCAGAACTGCCACATTCAGGTACCTCTAAGGACAACAGAAAATCACGATTTTATTCTCGGTTTTCAGTAAAAATGGAGAAAGGCAATTTTGAGAAGTTGATAGATGCTAAAACATTGACGTATTTAATTAAAACCATGATTTCGTGATTTTGACGATCCTAAGGTACAATGCTTTGAACACTAGTAAGGAACACTAGTCAGAGTATAAGGTGCCTCATGACCATCTCCAATCCACAGCCAGTGCCTGCTATGTCTTTGAGTTAATGTAAAGATTAAAGGGCATTTTTTTGTTTTTAGTTAACCACCCACCCCCCCTCCCCTCAAATACTTTGTTTCTCCAGCACTTCTGGAGATTCTATCCCAGTCTACTTCCTGCCAAAGCAGAGAGATCTGGAAAAGCTCTTGCAGGTTATCCATCGTCACATTTCAGACTTCACCAATGGAGCTGCACCTTCTGAAGCCTTGGCCAGCACTTTAACATCCACATAACTCGAACAGCCAGTGATGAACAAACTCAGATAAAGAGGTTTATTGTTGCTGAAATTATAAATTTACCTTGAAAATATACAATGGAGGAAAAGTTTGTCATCACCCTGAGCTTCCTTCTGTTTCCCTTTTTAATCTCAGAATATGGGAAACTGTCTTTTCTTCTCCTATTTTCCTCTGCCAACATTTCCAGATTTGAGATGTACTATAAAGAACCGTCATCCCAATTTAAATATGGCATATTGTATATAACAGTATATTAATGTACGCAGAGAAGATAGTACAGAGCCATTTCTCTTCAGATCAACTAAAGCCATCCTCACCACCCCCCAAGGCAAATAAACAAGCTAGCCTAACAATACAAGAGGTTGCAGATTTTCTTTTCCCTGTTGCCATGCCAACCACTCATTGCTCCGCTGCCATTTCCCTGAGCTCCGCAGG